AAAAAAAAAAAAAAAAAAAAAAAAAAAAAGCCCAGGACCAGATGGTTCCAGTGCAGAATTCTGTCAGAATTTCAAAGAAGGGCTAATACAAAAACTCCTCAAATTATTCCAAATAATAGAAATGGAAGGAACATTGCCAAACTCTTTTTACAATGCTACAGTTACCCTGATACCCATACCACACAAAGACACACCTAAGAAAGATAATTATAGACCAATCTCCCTTATGAACATTGATGTAAAAATATTCTAATAAAATACTGTCAAACCAGCTGGGTGGTGGTGGTGCATACCTTTAATCCCAGTACTCAGGAGGCAGAGGCAGGTGGATCTTTGTGAGTTTGAGCCCAGCCTGGTCTACAAGAGCTAGTTCCAGGACAGGTTCCAAAGCTACAGAGAAACCCTGTCTCGAAAAACCAAAAAAAAAAAAAAAATACTGGCAAACCAAATCCAAGAACACATCAGAAAAATCATCCACCATGACCAAGTAGGCTTCATCCCACAGATGCAGGAATGGTTTAAAAATCTGTCAATATAATCCACCATATAAACAAACTGAAAGAACCTTATGAGAAGGGGGTTAAACATGGTTGAGTCTCACCAGGGAAGGAATTTTCACTGCACTGTCTTATATGTGGAATCTAAAATGTTGGCTGTATACTACTCCCTGCTACAGTTTATTGGAGTTCAGAGAGAGTTGGCAGGGTGGAGGGAAATGTTGATTATTTTGGTAGATGAACAAGAGATTCTGTTGTGTTATTCCACATTAAAGTAACTGCATGTAACCGTCATGCAGTATGAACATCAGGAAGCTTGAAGAGCTTTGGAGGCTTTCACGGCAAATATAATATTTAAAGGGATGTGATTAACAAGCATCTTAGTTAGGGTTTTATTGCTATGAAGACACCATGAGCACAGCAGCTCTTATAAAAATATTTACATTGGCTGGCTTACAGTTTCAGAGGTTCAGTTCATTATCATCAAATGGGGTGCTGGAGCTGAGAATGCTACACTTGGCAGGCAACAGGAAGGCAAATGATACACTTGGTGGTATCCTGAGCATAGGAAGCCTCAAAGCCTGCCACTACAGTGACACACTTCCTCCAACAAGGCCATTCCCACTCCAACAAAGCCATTCCTCCTAATAGTGCCTCTCTCTATGAAAGTATGGGGCCTATAGATTCAAACTACCACAACATGATTTTACATTACGTAGTGTAGATACATCTCAAAACATTACATGCTAGTCTGGCGGTGGTGGTATGTTGTCTGAGTTTTCTGTCCTGCCTGGTTCCCGCAATTGTTAAGTCCCAAAGAAATCACACAGTGGTCTACATTAGTTATAAACTGATTGGTCCACTAGCTTAGGCTTCTTATTAACTCTTATAACTTATATTAACCCATTATTATTGTCTATGTTAGCCACATGGCTTGGTACCTTTTTCAGTGAGGCAGTCATACCTTGCTTCTTCTGTGGCAGGCTCACAACTGCAGAAAGAGCTTCTTTCTTCACAGAATTCTCCTGTTCTCATTGGTCATCCTCTACTTCCTGTCTGGTTGTCCTGCCTATACTTCTTGCCTGGCTATTCACCAAT